AGAAGTTTACAAAATTGAGAGACTTGGATAGCATGGGTAAATGAAGTTTTCCCCCTGCCAGGATAGAAATGTCAATTACTAGGGGTCATAAGTTTAAGGTAACAGGGAGAAAGTTTAAAGATGTGAGAGGTAAGTACCTAAAGTGGAGGTGGTGGTGGAGGCAGAACCAATAGCAATACTTAAGAGGCATCTTGACAGATTCAAATATGCAGGCAATAAAGGAATACGGACTGAGTAGGGGACACAAGTCTTGGTGCTATATTGTTCTTTTGGCTATCACTTTCAACCAACAAACTCCCACTGCAGATGGCCTCCTTGTGTAGATATTTTCTAATCAGCCTATTCAGAGAAGTTATTACACATTGCTAATACAGATGGGACTTGAACACAGGTCTCCTAGCCCAGAGGTAGGAACACTACCAATGCAGAAGAACTCTTGGCCTGGAGTACAGTAAATTTATGATTTGATTTTTTTTTCTAATCATGGAAATGAGTGGCTAATGGAAAGAGTAGAGTACCATCCTTGATCAAATTAAATTTACAATAAAGTTCATGTTCTAGATTAAACTAAAATCCAAGAAAGAATTAGAGATGGGAATAGTGCCACCTAACTGTGACAGTTCATGATTATCTGAAAAGTTATTAAAATTGATTCCTACCCTTATCCTTAAACTGATATTAAGCTAATACACAAAGGGGGAAGTTGGAGCATATTGATAAAGTCATTGCACCCCTCCATTACAATTGAATCGAGCAAAGGAGATTCACCACAATGCCGAAATGTTCAAGCCTAGGCAGCAATGAAGAGTAACTGATTAATTTCTTTAGAGTAGAGAAGGTTGAGGGACGTACCTACAGTCAGTCAGTCATACAGCACAGAGACAGACCCTTTGGCCCAAACTGGCCCATGCCAACTAGAATGTCCATCCATGCCAACCCCCTTTCTCTGCACTTATCCTTCTACACCTATCCTATTCATATTTGTCCAAATGCCTTTTAAAATGTTTTTAATGTACCCACCTCAACCACTTCTGCTAGTAGCTCATTCTATATGTGTACTACCCTCAAAGTTGGCCTCTTTGCCCTCTTACCTTAAACTGATGCCCTTTAGTCCTCAATTTCCCCAACCCTGGGGAAAAAGACCAAGTGAATTCACTATTCATGTCTCTCTCAATCTTATACACAAGATCCCTCCTCAGTCTCCTACATTCGAAAGAAAAATATCCCAGCTTGTCCAATCTCTCCCTATAACTCAATCTCGAGTCCTGCCAATATCCTTGTAAATTTCTTCTGCCTTCTTTTCAGTTTAATAACATCCTTCCTATAGCAAAGTGACCAAAACCGAACACAATACTCCAAAGTGTAGCCTCACCAATATCCTGTAGAACTGCAACGGAACTTCCCAACTTCTATACTCAATGCCCTAACCGATGAAGGCCAATGTGCTTAAAGCCACCTTCACTGCCTGGTCTACCTGTGACTTCACTTTGAGAACCATGCACCTGAACTCCAAGGTCCCTCTGCTCCACTACACTTAAGGCCCTACTGTTCACCACAGAACTCCAACCTTGATTTGACTTTCCAAAATCCAACACCCCACACAGTTATATTAAACTCCATTTGCCATTTCTTGGCCGACTTCCCTAGCTGATCAGGAACCTGCTGCAATTTCTGAACCTTCCTCACTGACCATGATACCGTCTATTTTATGTCATCCGCAAATGTACTAATCCTGCCTTGTACATTCTCATCCAAAATCATTGATATAGATAACAAACACAATGGGCCCAGAACCAACTTGAGGCACACTGCTAGTCACAGGCCCCAGTCCAACAAGCATCCTTCCACTATTACTCTCTGCTTCCTACCATCAAGCCAATTGTATCCAATTTGACAGCTCTCCCTGTATTCCATGCAATCAAACCTTCCAGAGCAGCCTACCATGTGGAACCTTATCAAAGGCCTCACTGAAATCCATACAGACTACGTCTACCACCCTGCCCTCAACCTTCCTAGTCACAAAGAACTCTAACAGATTTGAGAGGCACAATCTCCTACCTGCAAAGCTATGCCAACTACTCCTAATCAAACCCTGCCTTTCAAAATGCACATTTCTCTTATCCTTCAATCTTCTCAAGAAACTTACTGGTCTGTAGTTCCCAGGTTTTTTTTTTCCTTTGTGGCCCTTCTTGGAGAAGGGCACAACATTTGCTACCCTCCAGTCTTCTGGGACCTCACCCATGGCACTGATGATGCAAATATATCAGCTTGGGCCCTTGCAATTTCTTCTCTGGCCTTTTGCCGGGTTTTTGGATATATCTGGTCAGGGCTAGGACATTTATCCATACATGTGTGTCCACCTTGGTCCTGGAGGGTTCCTATTCTCTCTTTAATTATTCTTTTTTCCTTAAATATACTTCAAGAATCTCATTGGATTCATCCTAATCTCAGCCAAAGCTGTCTCATGTCCCCTTTTTGCTCTCAATTGCCTTCTTAAGTAAACTCCTGTACTCCCTATATACTGCCAGGGATTCCTTTGCTCCCAGGTGCCTGTACCTGAGCCATGCCTCTCTTTTTTTCTGGTCAAAGCCTCAACATCTCATCATCCAGGTTTCCCCAACTCCAGCCAACCTTGCCCTTCATCACAGAAATATAGACCTCAAACTCTAGCTATCACACTTTTAAAAGACTCCCCACTTGCTGGAGGTCTCTTTGCCTGCAACTAAACTACTCCAAATCAATCCCTAAAAAGTTCCTGTACCTGATGGAGGTGTACAAGATGATGGACATGACAGGGTGAATCAAAAACAGCTAAACTAAGGGGAGTAAAGGGTTAATAATAAGGGAGCTTAATTTTGAAGTGAAAGGCAGGAGGTTGAGAAGGGATAGGAGGAAAAGCTTTTTCACACAGTGGGTGGAGAGGGTCTCGAATGGACTACCTGTGTGGGTAGTTAAGGTGGAAATCCTCATTTTTTAATAGAATACTTGGGAGTGTCATAACATTCAAACTTATGGCTCAAGTGCAGGTTGTATATTTGACTGTACAGAGTTGATGGGATTAAGGGACTCTTCTGTATTCTGATTCTATGAACTTGTGTTCCAGATTTATTAGTTGAAATTAAAGCTTGTTTCAGTTATGGTGACTAAGACAATCAACATCAATTAGTGACCTACATAGGGTTTCTACATTGTCCTTTAGCTAAGGAGATGTACCCTCCATAGGAAGTCTGATATGTACACAAGTCCAGACCTGTGCCACAGTGATTGCCCCTTCCAAAAAAAGAAGTGATTCAAGACACATCATTGTCGTATATCACTGAATTTTTGTGACTGAGGAAATCTTGCCAGAAACACTGGCTGTAAACCTTCCAGAGAAACTTCTGCCTGTCTTTGTTACCAAGAATATCCAAAAAAAATGTTGACATTAACAGGCACTTCAATGTATTCAATGTGACTAAAGCTCTTGCAATGAGTAAAATTGCAAAGCTATGTGGATTATTCAAGAGTCCAAGAAACCTAACTGTAATTTTGCAACTGCTACACAATGATTGCAAATGTCTCAAGTGGAAGATCTGAAACAGATGACTTCAAAATCTGAACCAATATCAAGCAATCCTCAACTTTTGACACCTTGACTCTAAAACTAGAGGATCAGTAATAAAGCATGGAAACAGGCCCTTTGGCCCAAACTTGTCCATACCACTCAGCTAGTTCCAATTGCTCACATTTGATCCATATCCTTCTAAACCCTTCCCATCCATGTATCTATTCAAATTTTTTCTAAATGTTGCTATGGTACTTACCTCCACAACATCCTCTGGCACCTCATTCCATAAATGCACCACTCTGCGTGAAGAAGTTACTCTGCAGGTCCTTCTTAAATCTTGCCTCTCACCTTAAACCTACGCCCTCTAGTTTTCAATTCCCCATCTCTGGGAAGAAGACTATGCACCTCAATAAGGTTACCTCTCATTCCCCCTACATTCCAAGGAGTAAAGTCCTATCCTGGCCAACCTCTCCCTATAACTCCATCCTACTAGTCCTAGCAATATCCTCAAATCTTCTTTGCACACTTTCCAGTTTAACTATGTCTTTCCTATAACACGATGACCAGAACCATACACAATATTCCAAGTGCGGCCTCACCGACGACATATACAACTGTGACATAACATCCCAACTCCTATACTCAATGCCTCAACCAATGAAGAACAGCAGGCTAAATGCCTGCTTCACCACCTTCAACAAACTATGTATTTGTACTCCTAGGTCCCTCTGTTCCACAACACTCAGGGCCTTACTATTTACTGAGAGTCCTACCTTGATTTGACTTTCCAAAGTGCAACACCTCACACTTATCTGTATTGAACTGCATTTGCAAATCCTCAGCCCACTTCCCCATCTGATCAAGATCTGTCTAATTTTTGATAACCTTCTTCGCTATCAACAATACCTCAACTTTGTATCATCCACAAACTTACAAATCACACCTTGTACATTCACATCCAGATCATTTATGTAAATAACAAATAACAGCCCCAGCACCGGCCCCTTTGGCACACCACTAGTCACAGGCCTCCAGTCTGACAAACAACCTTCAACCATTACCCTCTGCTTCCTACCAATTTTGAATCCAATTAGCTAGCTCTCTCTGGATCGTATGCAACCTAACCTTCATGACTAGCTTGCCATGCTGTTCCTTGTCAAAGACCATAGTAAAGTCCATATAGACAACATCCACTACCCCATCCTCATGGTTACCTCTTCAAAAAAGCTTTAAAAGATTTGTCAGTTACTGACCTCAAAAGATCTGGTGAGCGTATCAAAATAAATAGAGAAAATGCTTACCTCAGTTAACTCCATGCCAAATCTAAACTGACCACCATAGATTTATGGTCTACTATAGAAGACTATTAGAGAAACAACAATTCTGACAGACCCTCCAGATAGTTTTAATGTTAAAGTTGAATATGAAAACAAATGCTTCCAGATGTCGAGTTTCTCCAATATGTTTTTATTTTCAGACCTCCAGCATCCACAGTATTTTGCTTTTACATAACCTACATGATGTGGATAAGTGCAATACTATTGCTCACTGCACCAGTTTACAAGCCACTATTTTCAGCTCAGCATCCAAGAGGCTCACCCTATTCTTGAGATGTTGCCTCAACAAAGAAAACTATCAAGCAAGTACTGGTTTGCCATATGTTCCACTTCCCATACACGTTGAAAGAGAAACTAATATATTGAGCAGTTCCGAGATCTGGGCAGCCACCTTTCTTAGGAGGGCTGTCTGTGACCATCTGTGCAATTCTGGGTCATTAAATGTCAATACTTAATCCTCATTCTTTCCTACCTTTTTCCTCCATAATCAGGAAATGGGGACTTGAGGATTAGCCACGATCGTATTGACAGTAGATGTGATGGACTGAATGGTCTAATTCTACTAATGTCTGAGTGATCTTAAGCAGCCAAGGTCACCGCCCCATAAGTCAACAAAAGTCAAACATTAGATACAAAAACTGCAGATGCTGGAAATATGAAACACGACATAGCTGGAAAAATTCAGGTCTAGCAACTTCTGTAGAGAGAAAGCGGAGTTAACATTTTAGGTCCAATGACCCTTTGTCAGAACCGTTGTAGCAAGTTAAAGGTTGATAATATATGCTGAAGATGAGGCAGGGTGTGGAGAGCAGAGAACGAGAGATGGGCAGACAAAGGCAATGGTCATCCTGGGAGAAGCAGTAGCAGTTAATAGTGTCCATTAGTAACTGATAATGGGTTGTGTGTGGTAGCAGCCCTGGTGGATAAAAGGCTTGGACAGTGGCACTCAGGCCCTAAAATTAGGGTTTGTAGCAGACGTCAATGGCCAGCCTGTTCCCAAACTTTAGTAACCTTCTTGAAGCTGGACGTACAAGTGTTCAGACTGAGCACCTCAGTTAGCACTGTTGCCTCAGTGTCAGGTTTGATTCCAGCCTTGGGTGACTGTGTGGATTTAGTCTTGTTTCCTCCCACCATCCAAAAGATGTGCAGGCAGATTGGCCATGCTCTATATATAAAAGAGCCCATTAGTATCCAGGGTTGTGCAGGTTAGGTGAGTTAGCCATGGTAAAAGCTCCATGCAAGGTTACAGGGATAGGGTGGGGGTGTGCGGTTGAGAACAAGACTGGGTGGAGGGTAGGTGCAGGCTCAAAACGGACCTAATGGCCTCTCTTTCTCCACTGCAGGGATTCTAATGTCATTAAAAAGACTGGAGGAACTGCTACCAGATCAGAATTATTCATTCATTTAAAAACAACCACCTATTGGTCAAGTTGCAACACATCTCAAATCCAAATTTTTTTTGAGGCAGGGCAGCAGTGGCAAAGGCAAATTGTATGTGCCAGGATCCGCTACCTCATGGGACATTCAATTAAGTTTGCCAAGAATCAGCATGTTAAAGTCAAATGAAGATACACAGCAGAGGGTGGCATGGTGCCTCAGTAGTTTGCACTGCTGCCTCACAGGGCCTGGGACCTGGGTTTGATTCCAGCCTTGGGTAACTGTCTGGAGTGTGCAATTTCTCCCAGTGTCTGTGTGGGTTTCCTCTAGGTGCTCCAGTTTCCTCCCACAGTCCAAAGATGTGCAGGCTAGGTGGATTGGCTATGCTAAATTACCCATAGTGTCCAGGGTTGTGCAAGCTAAGCAGATCAGCCCTGGGAAATGGAGCATTACAGGGATAGGGTAGTGGTGTGGATCTAGATGGGATGCTCTTTGGAGGGTCCGTGTGGACTTGATGTGCCAAACGGCCTGCTTTGATGCTGCAGGGATTCTATGAAACTTCTGACCACGTAGACATCATCCTCAAAATAACACGCAGGTCGTAGCCCTGTCCAATGTCACAGCAGAGTTACTCAGGTCAAGTGCAATTAGGAATGGATACCAAACATATCCAAGCCAAAAGTAAAGAACTAGTGCAGAGATCAGAAGAGATTGTTATGTTTAGTAGTAATAACTGAAAGCAGACGTGGTAGTCAGAAAACGTCTCTGCGTGTACGATCTCACCTCTAGCACAGGAAATTGGAAAGCGTAGTTAGTCAAATTGGTCTTTGCTTTTATGACAAAGCAGTCTAAAATATATATAGTTTCTTCAAATTAAAGGAGTCCCTTCTACTGTATTCAGGGAAGTTGAATTTATGGATAATTCTTACAGAGCAGATTAAGCTGACAATACTACAAGCTTTTGAAACTTCTCTCCCATAGTTTGATTAGTGATTAGCACTTTACGTTTTTGACACCACCACAGTGAATTTGGTTTCCAGCAAGAACTGGATTCAAATTTTCTTTGCAGTACATAGAGAAAATTACTTGAAAATTTAGTGTCTGCAAAAGCTAGCTTGTAATACATCATGAATTTAACACAATACAAGCAAAATTTGAATACTAAAAAGGTTAATCATACATTAAATGGAACATCTCTTGAGAAATACTAATGTAAATCTCTCGTTCTTTTTCTGTCATCAAAGATACTAATTCAGGATTTTGACTAACTTCACTGTAGAGGTGCACCTTTCCAGCAACCATAACTGTTGACTTCTCTGGTACAAACTCATTTTCCTCTTCTTTTAGGTCCAATTTTGTTGGTGGTTTTGCATTCTTTGACTCATCCTCAGATTCACTGGTCTCACTATCTGGTTCACTCCGATTTGCATTTGAAGTGAAGGTTGCTCCAGTTATTGATCTTTTCTCATGAATCATAAGTGTTTTTATGACCTCGGAATTTGGAACCTTCCTATTCAGAGTTTCATCTTCAAGCATTTCAGATGTGGTGTGTTCTGGAACAATTAGAAAAGTGAATTTTGGACAAAGTTGTCAAATACTGCTGATCAAAAATATAGATCAAAAGTAATTCCTCCTCACCAAATCTACATTTATCAGAAAAGTATTTAGCATCAAAACTTGCATTTAATTAATTTATAATTGTCCAATGTATAACAATGAAAACTCAGATGGCCTAATATCTTGGCATGATAACAGCAAACTCTAGGTGGCTTGATGGCAGACAGTGATGTTGTGGTAATGTGATTAGCTAATAATCTAGAAATCCAAGATAATGTTGTGGGGACATGGGCTTGAATCCCACCAGGGCAGACGATGGGCTTGGAATTAAAAAGCTAGTATAATGGCAACCATTGCTAGTGGTCATGAGAGTTCTCCTAGCATTGTAATTGTTTAAAAGGAAGCAATCAGGCATTCCTTACCCAGTCACATGAATCCAGAGCCACAACAAATTTTCTCGACTCAATTACACTCTGAAGTGACCTAGCAAGCTAAAGAGCAGATATGAGATTGGCAACAAATGCTTGTCCAAATATTGATGCCATGCCCCAAGAACAAATTAAAAACAAAAAGGTAAATCTTTCTCATTGGCAAGACAGTAGTGTGCCATAGGGATCATTATTGGTCCTCTAAACAATTTATGCAAGTAACTAGATGAAGTTTGATGATGACAGATTGGTAGGAAGGCAAGTTTTGAAGAGGACATAGGCCACAAAAGGGATTAGAGATATCTTGAATCTCGGTCAAAGATCTTGCAAGCAGAGTATAATGTAGCAAAATGTGACATTGTAGATTTCAGCAAGAAGTTTTTTTTAAAACCAAAAAGCATATAATTCTAAACGGAGAGAGATTACAGAGTGATTTCTAACCTCTGGGACCAAGGTGAATGACACCAAGTTAATTTGAAAAGGGAACAAGAGGGAACAAAACAAAACAAAAAAAAAAAAAAGGGGAGGGAACAAAAAATGAAGGAGAGGGAGGGAGGGAACCCAGTTGTCACCCATTACGGTGTCAACAACAGCGGCAAGGAGTCCCTGATATTCACCAGTCAGAATTAGAAAAAAAGTTTAAAAACAAGACCTCAGAAGGTTGTCATTTGGGAGGCACAGCAGAAATTCATCCCAAGGAAGAAGAAAAATACTAAGGGAAGGACATGGCAACCAGTGGCTGACAAGGGAACTCAGGGAAAGCATAAAGAGAATTCCTTTAAAAGCCGGCAGACTTTTGAAAAAGAATCCAAGATGATGACAGTAAGTAGCTAGTAGTAAAAAGGGAGATTGCAAAGTATTTTTGGATTGTATATAATAAAGGAGGCAGGAGTAGATATTGGACTGCTGTAAAGTGAGGCTGGAGTAGTAATAATGGGGAACAAAAATGGCAGAGGAACTGAATAGGTACTTCATGGTTTAAAAAAAAAGATACCAGTAGCTTACCAGAATTTAGAGCAAGGTGCAGAGGGGAGTTAAGTGACTGTCACTAAGGAAGCTGTAAGATCTGAAGGTGGATAAATCACCCAAACCGGAGACACTACAACCCAGCATTCTGATGGAAGTAGCCGAGGAGATTGTGGAGGTATTGGTGGTGATCTTTCTCAGAAATCACTGGAGTCAGGGAACGTCCTAGAGTACTAGAAAATGGCTAATGTAACACCCCCGTTAAAAGGTGGCAGAAGATACCAACTTTTAGGCTGCTAGCCTGACCTCAAACATTGGTAAGATTTTAAAGAGACCATTAAGGATGAGATTGCAGAGTACTTGGAGGTGAATGGTAAAAAAAAATAGGGCTGAGTCAGCACAGCTTCAAAAGGGAAGTCATGCCTCACAAGTCAGGTAGAATTCTTTGAAGAGATAACAAGCAAGTTAGACAAAAGGAGAGCTAGTGAACGTGATCTATTTGGATTTCCAAAAGGCCTTTGATAAGATGCCATGCAGGAGGCTGCAAAATAAGATGAAGAGCCCATGACATCCATGCCAGTACCTTGTCATGGATAGAGGATTTGCTGACGAGCAGCTAAAAGAGAGCAGGGATAAGGGGTCTTTTTCAGAACAGCAGCCAGTCATTGATGGAGTTCCACAGAGGTTTGTGTTGGTAACGTAACTATTTGTTATACGTTAACAAATGATGGAACGGAGTGCAATGCTGCTAGGTTTGCAGATGACAAAGACAGATGGAGGGAGAGGTAGCGTTCAGGAGATGGGGAAGCTGCAGAAGGACATGGACAGAGGAGGTAGCAAGGAGGTGGCAGATGGAATACAATGCAGAAAAAGTATGAGGTTATGTATTTTGGTCAGAAGAGGCAGGGTAGACAATTTTCTAAAACAGGGTAAGGCTTCAGGAATCTGAAGCACAAAAGGGACTAGGGAGTCCTAGTTCAGGATACTCTTAAAGTTAAGATGCAGGTTCAGCTGGCAGTTAAAGAAGCGAATGCAATGTTAGCATTCATTGTGAGAAGGCTAGAATACAAGAGCAGGGATCAACTACTGTACAAGGCTCTGGTCAGACTGCATTTGGAATATTGAGTAATTTTTGACTCCACACATGCTGGCCTTGGAGGGGTTCCAAAGGAGGTTTACAAAAGTAATCCTGGGCATGAAAGAGGCTTGTCAACTCTGGGTGTGCATTTGATGGAATTTACAAGGAGAGGGGAAAAGTTGAGATGTGGAGAATTTTAATCACATTTTAAGAGTACCAAGAGGCCTGGATAGAGCGGATGTGGAGAGGATGTTTTTGCTAGTGGGAAACACCTGGGACAGAAGGCACACCTCAATGTAGGAACGACCTTTAAACTGAGATGAGCAGGAATCTTTTCAGCTAGAGGACAGTGTATCTGTGGAACTCATTGCCACAGAAGGCTTGAAGCCAAGTCATTGAGTGTATTTAAGGCAGAGATAGATAGTTTCTTTAAATGGTAAGGAGATCAAGGTTTACAGGGACATGGCAGGAGGATAATGATGAGAAGCATATCAGTCATAATCAATTGACTAGGAGTATACTCAAGAGGGAAATCAGGAGGGCAGAAAAGGGGACATGAAATAGCTTTGGCAAATAGGGCTAAGGAGAATCCAAAGGGATTCTACAAATGCATTAAGGACAAAAAAAGTGTAACTAGGGAGAGAATAGGGCCCCTTAAAAGATCACCAAGGCCACCTACGTGTGGAACTGCAGGAGATGGGGGAGATACTAAACGAGTATTTTGCATCAGTGTTTGCTGTGGAGAAGGATATGGAAGGTAAAGAACGTGGGGAAATAAACAGCAACATCTTGAAAGACGTCCATATTACAGAGGTGGTGGTGCTGGACGTCTTAAAATGCATAATAGTGGACAAATGCCTGGGACATGATCAGGTATACCCTAGAATTCTGTGGGAAGCTAGGGACGTGATTGCTGGGCCCCTCGCTCAGGTGAGGTGCTGGAAAATTGGAGCTTGGCTAACATGGTGCCACTATTCAAGAAAGGTAGTAAGGAAAAGCCAGGGAACTGTAGACCAGTGAGCCTGACATCGGTGTGAGGTGCTGCATGTTGGAAAGGCAAATCAGGGCAGGATGTATACTTATGGTAATGATTCGGGGAGTCTTGGTAAATGAAGAGACCTTGGAGTGCAGGTTTATAGTTCCTTGAAAGTGGAGTCACAGGTGGACAGGATAGTGAAGGCGGCATTTGGTATGCTTGCCTTTAATCAGTCAGTGCATTGAGTACAGGAGTTGGAAGGTAATGTTGCAGCTGTACAGGACATTGGTTAGGCCACTTTTGAACACTGTGTGCAGTTCTGGTTTCCCGGCTATTGGGAGGATGTTGCGAAACTTGGAAAAAAAAGTTTACAAAGGATGTTGCCAGGGTTGGAGGTTTCAGGCTATAGGGAGAGGCTGAACAGACTGGGGCTATTTTTCCTGGAGAGTCAAAGGCTGAAGGATGACTTTATAGAGGTGCATAAAATCATGAGGGGCAAAGATGGGGTGAATAGCCAAGGTCTTTTCCCTGGGGTGGGGAAAACTAAAGGGCAAAAGGTTTAAGGTGAGAGGGGAAAGATTTAAAAGCAACCTATGGGACAACTTTTTCTACACAGAGGGTGATGTGTGTATGGAATGAGCTGCTAGAGGCCAGTACAATTACATTTAAAAGGCATCTGGAAGGGTTTAAGAGGGATATGGGACAAGTGCTGGCAAATGGGACTGGATTAATTTTGGATGTCTGGTCGGCATGGACAAATTGGACCAAAAGGTCTGTTTCCACGCTCTGCAGCTCTATAACACTATGGCAGAGCAGACTCTGTTTCAAATGGCCTATTTCTGCTTCTATATCTTATGGTCTATGCATCAAAGTTACAGTAGTATGCAGGAACAGTAAGTAACTATGAAAGCTAGTAGAATATTGGTTTATTGCAAGGAGAATGAAATAGGTGGTTACATCTGGAATACTATGCACAGTACTGGTCACCTTATTTCAGCAAGTTTTTTTCAGATTTAAGGCTATGGTGGGAGCAGTTCAGAGCAGAACTATTAGACTAATATGTGGAATGGATAGGTTGTTTTACAAGGGAAAGGTTAGACAGACTAGGCTTGTATCCTCTGCAGTTAAGAAGATTACGAGGTGACTGGATTCAAATAAGACAGACCCCAATGGTAGACAATCAAGGATTCTTGATACGGTAGATATGGAGAGGATGTTTCCTCCTGAAAGAGCCTAGAGCTAATGGCCACTGTTTAAAAATAAATTTTCACCCATTTAAGACAGCTGATGATTGACAGTCGAGTCTTTGACACTCTTTCCACTGCCTTGAGGAAGAGTCTTTGACTATTTTTCAGTTAGAGCGCGTCAGATTCTTGAAAAGCAAGGTGGTGACGAAAGCTTGGGGGGTTAGGGAGGAGCATGGAGTAAAATCAGGTCAGCTACAATCTTATTGGAGCAGGCCCTGGGGCAGATGATTTCTGCTGTACATTTGTTTTCTTCTTCTTCTATACCAACAAGACTGCAATTGATAAGTTATGATATCACACT